TGATTTTTATATACCATCAAATGTATATATAGTTAATAACGACTTGTTTTGTAAGCACCATTTCTAATTTAAATTGAAATGTGTAATAGTTTAATACCATACATATTTCTTTTTTATATTAGAAAAGAATATGTCTGTCTCCAAATATTTATTATATTTATTATTTCGTACGTGTACAATTTTATTTTTTTTAAATTATAGGATCAAATATAAAAATATTTTACTCTATCTTCATAAATTTGATTAAGAGTACTTGTCATTCTCAAATAAATAAATAAAAATAAAACGAGATTTTGCTTAGAAATACACTATTTGTGTCCATTTGATGGCGAGAAGTTACATTTACAGATTATAGTCTTCGTTAATTAAACTACTGGAAAAAAAGTATTGCGAAAGTAGTCTAGACAAGTTTCATTTTAAAATCAGCTTACAGTGAAGCCTTAGGCTTAGAACCTGAAACTATTAAATTTTGATTTAGGTGATTAAAGAAATTGCTTGAGAAATAATTCAGTCATGAATTTGTAAGCTGCTTCGGTCGGATGGACGCTATCCCAAAACAGGTATTTTGATGAATCTTCACATGTTGGGGTTAATGCATTACATAGAGGCGCTACTTCTGCCAATCCAGTTCCACAACAACCTGTGTTTGTATGCTCAAAACCTGTGCGACCAAAAGCCGCAAGCAAAACTTAGTGGAAAATGATTCTCAGAACTTGATTTATCTAAAATATTTACGACGTTAGATCATATAAGTTGATAAAGGTTTCTATTTTGATGGGCACCGACTTACCATACTTGTGAGGATTATTGACCATGTCGATGAGAGGGGTGTAAATGTCAGCGTACAATATTGTGCTTCCATGTAGTTGCGATGGCAGATTGCCCAACAACTTTGAAAGCTTCTGATTATAGGATATGGAGTCCGAGTTTTGATCTTCCAAACATATTCGCGTTAAAGGAAGTTGAGACGATATAGTCTCTTGAATGGGAAGGCAACCAATAGGAGGTAGGCCAGCAACCACTATATTGCGACATCCAAGCTCGTAAATTTCCTGTTTAGTATGTTTGAGTTCATAAGCTTATGTGAATGAATTTGGATTATTATGCGATCAAATATTGATGAGGGTTAATAGTGTGCATATGGTTTAATTTACCTTGATGAAGCTTTGTAGTCTATCTTGGATAAAATCTTGGTAACCGCTAATATTGTATTGTAGTTTCCTTACCGGAAGGTCGTAGAAATTTTTGGTAAAGTCATTAGTTCCTGCACTAAGAATAACTAAAGCACTACCAATAATTTTCTTACTTTCATCTACACCTACAATCTCGGTAAGTCTTTGAATATAGTTCTTGAACATATCAACTTGCATCATCATTGGAATAACTTTGTATATCATAGTAGTTAGATCATCAAACCCTGAGCCAGCTGATGCAAAACTAACTCCTGTTTTCACGTCATCATTTGACAATTTTGGATCCAAGAATGGAGGAACAAGCTCCTTTATGCCCAACCTAGAGGCCACCATGTCAGGAATGAGTTTTCCATTACTGAACCTTCCAGTAGCAATATGATTGGGAAAATCTTTGCCATAAGGAGAGTAATTAGCCTTTATAATGGTGGGAATGAAGTTGTTATTTCCCGTATCTACTGTAGAATCACCGAAAATAAGAATGGCAGGAAAAGATCTAAAATTTTTAAGATCAGAAGCACTACACAATTTGATCATATATAATGACCAAACTATCTGGAGCGATAGAGCAGCAATGAGATAATTCACTCGTGCCATTGTCGGTGTTCTTCAAGTTGTTTTTGATATCATCTCTGCCGATGGGTGTATGTATTAATAGGGTCTGAAAGATATTAAAACTAAGCTCTTTATGGTTTCTACATGGAGTTATTTAGTTGTTAGCAATTTAAGGCCATTGAATGCTATATAGTTTCAAATGGTCTTTTTTTTTTTTTCTAAAAAAAAATAATATAGTTTATTTGTTAATTTATATATTTGTGATCTCGTTTCAAAAACAATTACATGAGCAGAGAAGTTATTGAATATCAAACTGAAAGGGGTGTCAACTATACATGGTAAGGCTGTTAATCTCAAAAAAATAATATACAACCATCAATGAGATGCTATGACTAGCATGTAGCGGATTCGGTTGGACGAAGAGTTCAAATGCATCAAGGTGGACAAGAAGGTGTTTGGGTTAGGGTAAAATGAAATTTGTATTGTTTTAAAGCGAATACTAATATTTAATATTTTACACATAGCATCGTCCAAATGCAAAAGACGTGTTAGAACAAATCATATCGACATTAATATGACTTGAAAAGAAATAAAATGACTCATTGCATTTTCTTGAGTTATAGTCCCCCTCATAAAAGGTTTTGTTGTCTTGATCCAATCACCACTAGGCTATATATCACCGGTCACATTCAATTCGATGAAGCTCATTTTTCTGCTGTCCCTAGGTCTCTTTCCTCTTTTCATATTTCAAATTTCTTGGAGCCACGTCTTTTACCATATTGATCCCCTCTGCACATTCCTCGATCTAGCTCATCTTTATGTGATATTTGTTATGACCTTGTGGATGAGTATGTGCAAATTGATACTTCTCTTGCAGGTTCCTCTTTGCCTCCCTCGGCTTATGATTCGCCCCCTGTTGAACTTGCTACTGATTCTTCATCTTCTTTGAGTTTTGATCCTACGATCACACGAGCAAAAGTTTATATTTTCAAAACTCATCATCCAACAATTTTTTTATGTTTTGAGCTCATTTGGACTTCTTTTTGCTCTTCTTGCATTCATTGAGCCAAGAAAATTTAAATGTACGGATAAGAATTGTGTTTGGATTGTTGTCATGGATGAGGAAATTCGAGCTTTACAATAAACAACACTTAGATTTTGGTTCTTCGCCCGTGCAACACGTGGGCTCTAAATGAGTTTTAACACTAACTATTTGCTCGATGAATCTGTTGAGCATTTCAAGACTCGTCTTGTTGCCAAAGGTTATACTAAGATTTCTTGTCTCAACTACACTCACACTTTCAGCCCTGTTGTTAAAGCTACTACTATCGGCGGTCGTTGTGACGCCTTCAACCCTTCTTACCCGATTTAACCTTTCTATAGCACAGAGGCTACGAAGGTACACGCCTTCTTAGAAAAAGGAAAAGAAAAGAGAGGGCTAGGATTTTTGAAAGAGGAAGCTGAAAGTGAGATCCAAACTCAAATTTGCGGCTTTTGGTCGAGAATCCTTCATAGAAGTGGCTCAAAACATTATCGAAATCGATTAATAATTGATGAAAAATCCAAAATATGATTTATGAATTTAAGGATAGTATTTAGGTTTAAATTATGACTTTTAGGTGATTGTTTATCATATTGACCAAATCTTGTGAAGAGATCTCAAAGAGAAAATGCTTGAATCCAACCATGATAAGAATTAAGAAACACCCTTATTATGAATGAGAATATTTTTTCCACCCTTGATTAAATTGCATGTTTGATTTCAGATTTCAATGTTAGAAGATATTTAGTGTTTTCACCATATTTGCACTATTTATAAATATTGAAGTTAATGACAAATTTTAAAGTTAAAACGAATTTTAAATATTATTTGCTTGAACCAATTCATGACATATCCGTAGTAATAGGTTTATTTTAAAAGAAAAATAAGTCCATTACAATGGATGTTAATGGGACTTCTGCGACTATACGGTGGCAGCTACTTTGTGGTGGGCGTGGTGGTGGTGAGGGCTTGGGGCACCTTCTTTGTGGTGGGCGTGGTGGGGGTGGTGGGGGTGGTGGGGGTGGCTTGGAGCAGCTACATGATGGTGGCCGTGGTGGTGGTGGTGGTGGTGAGGGCTTGATGCAGCTACTTGGTGGTGACTGCCATGATGAGTTGGTGCAACAACAGGGTTGCCGTGAGATTCAACAGATTCGATGACATTGAACTTGGACTGCGTAGGCAGGTGGTGGTGGGGGCTTGGAGCAGCCACATGATGGTGGCCATGGTGGTGGTGGTGGTGGTGAGGGCTTGGAGCAGCTACATGATGGTGGCCATGGCGGTGGTGGTGAGGGCTTGATGCACCGTGACTGTCATGATGAGTTGGTGCAACAACAGGGTTGCCATGAGATTCGGCAGATTCGATGACATTGAACTTGGACTGCGCAGGCGCATGGTGGTGATGGTGGTGGTGGCGGTGGTGATGATGTGGGCCTGGAGCGGCTGCTTTGTGGTGGCTGTCGTGGTGAGTTGGTGCAGGAGCTAGGCTTTCATGAGATTCAGTAGCTTCAAAGACATTGAAACTACAATAGAAAAGAAACAAAAGCACACAAACACTTGTTCTAAGAGAAGCCATTTGAATATGATATGAACTTCTTCTAAGCTTGAAGGGTCATATATATATATATATATATATAATAAATAAATAAAATAAATAAATAATGGTTCATAATGAATTGAAAAAGATCCTAAATTGAGAGTATACTATATAATTAAGTAAAAGTTGAATAGTCTTGTCTAGAGGGTGGTGTTAATCAATTTAACTCGATTTTCATCTATATTTGGATTTTAAAATAAAGAACTAAACTCACATTCCATATATGAATCCAACAAATTTTTTAATTAAAGTTTTCTATTTAATTTATAATGTCAATTTAAGAATTTGATTCCGGAATGTTTTCGTTCAACAAATTAAGAAGAAAAATATTAAGAACGGAAGGTGGAAAGAGAAAAGGTCGTGTAGGATAATCTTTAATTTCTCTATTTTTTCTAATAAAATAATAATGTATAGACTTAAATGTTCATAATAAAATTTTAAAACAATATAGTAATCAACCAGGAAAAATGACTAAAATATGGAAGAGAATATGCACGACTAAAATATAAGTGAGACAATATGGATGAGTATGTTATGCATGATTTAAGAAATTATCAATATGTCCCTATGATGAGATTTGTAATGATTGTTGTTTTATATGTTTTCCGCTGTGTTAGAAAGGATGATGGACTATTGCGATATGTGCTTTGGGTGATCGATGGATGGTATCTCCCCGTTGAACTTGTTTGCTTGTATCTGAGCATGATACACTATGTGTTAGCT